CAGGAATGATTTTGCTGTCATGTGTCTTGCTGCCATTCACTCAGAAGATGCTCGCAACGAAAACACAAACACGAGATGCATGAAAGGAGAAGGTAACACACCTGTGTCCACTCCTGGGTACAGCCCTGCTCCACATCCCTTGCCTGGGAGCTCCATCCCCCTGAGCTCCCCCTCACCCTGTAGCAGAGGAGCTGGAGCAGGATGTGGCCCCACAGCACGTGGGGCACTGCCCGGGGCTGGGGGGGCTCCCCATCCTGCCAGCCCCTTCCTTCCCTTGGAGCTCGACTTCTCCTGATTTTGTAAACCAAACTGTTTTGTACTTACAAATATTGATCCCATTGCATTAGGCATCCCCTCCCTGAGCTGTCTTTGCTCAATGACACGTGCCATCAGCCCTGGGAAAGGATGCTGAGCCCACAGCCATCAGTGCAAACACGGGGAGGGGTCAACCCACTTCTCTGCTCTGAGCCCTAATGCAAGATCCTGACAGAAAAGCAGCTGGAAAACAGGGATTTGGGCAAGAGCCCAGGCTGGCCGCTGAGCATCAGGAGGGTCCTGCCCTGCCTGGGGGGTGCAGAGCCTGGGCTGTGCCTGCTCCCACCACCTGGCACAAGCTGCCCTTCCCCTGGTCTCTCTATAAAAGCAGAATTCAAAGAGCATCTAAGAAAGCAGGCACAAACAAAAGGCGCACGTTTCCAGGCGGTTTCCCACACTGCTACAGCTTGGACAAAAAAATATTGATACCAAGAAGCAATTTACTTTGGGCTGTATTGCACCATTGATTTTGGGGCAGAACTCCCCATTAAAATCAATGATTCTGAAATGTTCAATGTGGTTCTGAAAAATCGATGGGGAGTTTTGCTTAAAAATCAATGATATAATATGGCTCTCTGTCAATGATTTTTCTGTATTCCCATTTCCGAATATTTGCAGCCGTTTTCCTGCTTCCATCTCTGCACTCGGCACCTCTTTGTGCCTCTGGAAGGTTCCAGCTGTGCTGCCAGGGACCAAGAGGGTCCTGTCCCTTGCCAGGGGTAGCAGGGGGTCCCCCAGAGACCCCCCCAAGCAGGGTCTGCTGCCTTCTGCCACAGCTGGACCTCACCCAAATGGGACCAACCTGAGCAAGATGTGCCATTCACTTCAACTGAGCAGCATGAAACTGAGGTGCTGTGCATGAAAGCCCCTTTCCATCCCTGTCCTCCCCACTGCCTGGGGGCACGTGGGGCATGGCAGACCCCCTGAGCACAGCCGTGGGAAACAGGCGGGGGGTGTGAGCCATGGAGAGGACAGAGGTCCCAGCTGTGGGCAATTTCCCCAGGTTTGTCATGACTAGGAAGGGAAATAAGACTTATAAAAGTAAATTATGGCAAACGAACAAACTACACTGGGGCAATCCAGGCTTGTGGTTTCAGCTCCTAATTTTTCCCTTCCATGCCAAAACTGCCATCTACCTCTGCTAGTGCAACCCAGAGACCTTCCCACCAGCCTGCACAGTCACTGGCAGGTCTCTCAGTCCTCAGGCTGGCCGTGCCACCAGGGGGTCAGGCTCTGCAGCAGGGAGAGAAACTCTGCAGGTCCCTCAGGAGCAGGTCTGAGCACAGGGGTGACCAAACCTCCCAGCACCCCAGCCCTGAACAGCCTTTGGAAAAGCAAAAGCCAGAAAATGTGGGGTAATTGAAATGGGAAAGAGAGGATCCAGCTTCCCCTGCACCCGAGGGGCAGGATCACAGCTTTGGGGCTGGCAGAGCTGTGGTGCTGTGGCAGTGGGCACTGGGAGGTGCTCCAGGCCCCTCAGGTCTGGTGTGGGACTCAGGATCTTCTTCCTCACCTCCTACCTCTGCTTGGAGGCAAAAAGGCTGAGAAAAATGAAAACATGCCCCTATAAAGTATGAATTTAAATTGGATTTTGCACTTTCTTGCAGTCTACAGTCAGTTCTCAGCATTGTGCAGAATAGTAGAAAAATGTTAAAATACCTTTAAGTACCCCTGTTGTAACAAGAAACCCACCTGTTCTACAGGGCCCTTTCTCCTGAGACATCATGGCCAACATTTTCAAACCATCAGTGACCCTAAGGTTGTCCTCTCTCCCACAGCCTGGTTCCCAGCAGTGCCAAGGAAGCCGTGGCATCCTTTGGCCACCTTGAGTGACTGTTGGTCACTGGAAAATGGGGCCACTGTGCTAGTGCAGATGTAGAGATGTAAATGGGAAAACCTGGAAAATGTGTTTCCTCTTTTCCCTTTAACAAACATTGTGGGAAATCCCAGCACCTGGCTGCTGCTGTCACCTTCTATCCCAATACATCTCCAGAGAAACCTGGTACCATTTATCATAGTGATTTAACTCCAAAATCAAAAGACCAAACAGTATCACAGAGCTGGGAACGACCCGTTTCAGCCTGGCTAATCTGCACTAGGATTTGGCCCAAATTGAATGAAAAAGCTGAAGTATTCCAAGAGCAATATTAACAGCTAGCTAATGTAGGAGCCATATTCTCACCTTCTTCTTCATAGTATTCCTAAAAAAATGTAAAATTCAGTAAATACGAAAATATGCAAGTGGTGGAAAGAAAGGATCCACACTGAAGAACTTGCACGTGACAATGGAATTCCAAGCAGCTTTTGCAACTGGCCATGGCAATGTGTGCTGAGAGCAACACACACAAGAGAAGCAAAACCTTTTAAAACCAGCATTTCTAATTCTAATCAGGAAGGGGCAACAAAATAAAGAGAACCAGGGCATTTATAGTGGGATGTTAAAATATGAAAACACCTTAAAACATACTTTGTAGCATATCTACAAATGCAAAGAGATGTGAATGTTGCTGTGGCATGAATAGCAATCACAGAGCCTGGCCAATACTTGGACACAGCTGAATGTGCTTGAACCCCGTGACAAGCAGGGACCAGGGTGGCTGAAAAGCATCTTTAAATTATGGAAAATATTTGAGGGTGGGGTTGGTTGTGTGGGGTTTTTTGTTGGTTTGTTGTTGTTGGTTTTTTAGAATCATATCTGAAGATGTTTAATTGGGTTTTGGGCACTTTTTAGACAGTAATTTGGCACTTCAAGATTTTGGTTCTTAGGCACAATGCGACAAGGTGAGTTTGGCCAGTCCTTCACCGTGCATCCTGTAGAGCAGCTGGAACTCTGCAGGCAGCTGGTGGGACTCCTGCCACTTGGTGGTGAACTTGGTTCCCTTCTTGTCATAGTAGTGGTACGGGAGGTCCTCCCGCGTGTTGGGGTCGAAGCCGAAGGGCCAGAACCCGTACAGGTGGATCTCCTCACACACAGCAGAGGCGAGGGTGTACATGAGAATACCTGTGCTCAGCCTCTTGGGTGACAAGTGCTTGTTCTTCCAGTATCTGTGGGAAAAATGAAGGTGTGTTAGTCTGGGGGGCAAGTAACGCCAGTGGGTCTGCTCCAAGGGAAGGAAGTTCCTCCTGGAAACTCTGCAGAGCCTGGGAGCATCTCTGTGCTCGCAGAGAAGAGCAAGCTCTTCTACAGCTGTGCTTTGCTTGTGCAACATTTCACCCTGCTCCCCGTCCTCCTCCCATCTGTGGAAGAGCCCAAGGGTGTGAACCAACCCACCTCTGCCATGGATCCATGAAGAACCAGCTGAAGTACTGACTGAAGCAATCACAAAACTGTTTGCTCCAAGCAGCACATGGTCCTGATCACTAGACAGTGCCAACCAGATCAGGCATGACTAGAATAACAACTGGGTTTTATTTGCACAAATGGAGACATATTTTGACCAGTGAAAAGCAAGGCAAAACCACACACCTGTTAACATGTTGCATTATATTTCCTGGCCAAGCCAACTGGACCTTTAGTTGCCCTCTGTGCTCCACAAAGAAGTCAACCAGTGTTCTCGTCACCGTTGCTGACGTGTGGAAGAAAAAGGCAGGGATCCAAAGAATGGCCCCATCAAGCTTTTTCAAACTTAAGAAGAAGTTGTTGCGATCCTGAATGGTCAGAAGATTGTTGTAATACTTCTCCAGGATGCTGGGGTTGAAGGTCGTGAGGTTGGTTTTCCTGCCAACATCTTTCTGGAAAGCCTCAGTTGGAGCAAAATTGCAACGAAAAACAAAATCAGATTTATCTATCTCTTGCCCACACTGGCTCCCAGTCAGGATCCCACTGTTCCCAACCACAGCACAGATGTTGTAATGCTTGTTCAGGATGGGAGACACGTCGGGAAGCAGCGACCTGAAGTTATTGCTGATAGAGAACACGTACTTATGGCTGGAGTAATCATAGTGCATCAGCTGCCCAATCCGGACACTGCTCTTGGTCAAAGAAAAATTTTTTATGACATCAACGTGCTGAAGGATTTCTTGCCTAAAATGAAACAGGAAAAGAAAAGATGGAGTTGCGTTTCCCCTCTTCCTGCAGTGCAGAGATTTTCCTTCCAGCTAGACCTCAGTTTTTCTTCTTTGTTTAATGCAGCAGTTTCCAGAGCAATGTGATGCCATGGCTTTTAAATTAGTATAAACAGATGGGAATTATGGAGCTGGCTCCTCACCTAGAGCTCTGCTTGGCTTTGCTGGGCAGCCCTGACCGATGCCAGCTAAGGATGTGTCTGTGTCTCTTGGACTTGAAGTATTCAAACACCGGGTTTGCTGTGTAAGCCAGAGATGTGCAGGTAACCAAGAACCCTCCAACCAGCCCCTTGCTGAGGGCTGGTGCACAGCACAGCCCTGGTAGTGCTGGGACCTGGGCCTGGTGGGTCAGGCTGCTGCTGGTGCTCTCCACATGCACTTCACTCTTGGAACAGGGCTGCGGGTCTCTGGCAGTGATGTGGAGTGAAACCAGGCAGTCTGGGTTATTCAGTTAAATTACCAGGGGCTGATTTTTAAATACATATGGCTTTTGTGTTCTCATTAAGAAGGAAGGGACGACAAAAACAAGGGACTGTCACTGTCTCCATTTACGTAAACATAATTCCTTAGTATCTTAGTAGGGCAAGCATGCCAGCATTTTTACAAGGGTTATTAAAGATACTTAAAAAACCAAGCAAAACCAACCCTGCTCAGGAATTTCCCTTGCAGGGCATAAAATTAGAAAACCAATACCACTTGTTGTGCCCATGTTTATGGAAAACAACCTTTCTTCCAGCTCGCATCCTCCAGTGTCTAAGCATTAATGGAGTCCCACTGGGTGCCCTAATTATGGGTTATGACTAACGGACAAGTGCAAAGGCAGATCCTGAGGCATTAGCTAAAATCACCAGAGGGGTGGCACAGAGACTTGGCAAGGACAAGCTGGTGGTGCCAGGAGTGAAGCAATGCTGAGGGTGGGCACTGTCACACCAGCCTGGCAGGTCTCTGGAAAGGATGGGGTGTGCAAAGAGCCATCTCCTCTCTGTGGCCCATGGCTTCCTGGGGGAGCAGGAGGCATCCAAGGCCACTGCTTGCCCCACTGTGCCCACAGCAGTGCTGGCCTCTAACCAGAGGGTGACCAGAGGGGGGAGAGAAGCCCAAGCCCTGCCCAGCAGCACAGAGGGGGCAGCAGCCTGACTCTGCTGGCTGCCTGGGCTCCTGCTTCTCCAGTGACACATGTGAGCACAGGCTCTGAACCAGCAGGCACTTGTCAGGGCAGAATTACAGTCTAAGGTGGGAACAGCTACCTTAAATGGCTAAATGTCTTTCTTTTCTTTTCTAGATATTTTTATTAGTGTATATGTATATCAATAAGAATATATAGATGAAGTACATAAAGTAGGTGTTTACTGATATGTGTGTATCTGTATCTCAGTAAAGCAAAGAAATTAAAGAGGCTGGCCAGACACCACCAAACGTCACAGGGAGAAAAATTAAAGCCCATTTCCCTTCCCTTTAAGCACAGAGCAGCTGTGAGGAAGTTGTGGGAAGCCAGAAACCTTTTCCATTGGCACCCAGCAGGGAAGGCAGCAGAGCCTGCAGCCGAGAGGCAGAAGGTGGTGCACAAGGAGGGTGTTTCCCTGGATGCAGGCTCAGAGCCCCCCATCTGAGCCCCTCTCCCTGGCCACCCCCTCATTCAGAGCCGTGCTGGGAGGCAGAGCAGCTCTGCACCAGCTCAGATCTGCTGTTCTCTGGGAAGTGCAGCCGGGTGTGTTGTGTCCTCCACGAACCCAGCATTTCATGGCTGTTACAGGCTGATTCGTTTCAAGTTTTAAAAACCCAGCCATTTATCTTGGAGTAATGACAATTTCACTTGCACCCCGGGAAACTGGGTCACGTTCTGTTTGGTAAAATAATGCGTGTTGCAGCCTGGTGCCCTGCTCTGAAATAATCAATTCTTCCAAGATAGCTGTAACCATCTGGGGAAATGCTCCGATTCAGCCTTTGTCTCTCACTGCTGGCAAATTACTCAGAGCTCAGAGTGTTTAGCTGTCCCTGATTGTATTTTCTTAAATCCTGGGGGAAGGGGCGGCCTCAGGGAGGGCGAGCAGGGGGCTGCGAGGGGGGGCTCACCTCTGCTGTGCGAAGGCAGTCCGGTTGAAGGCCCACTTGGAGGGCTTCTCCTGCAGCTCCTGGCTCAGCGAGTTCGTGATGGGCACGAACGAGGGGTCCAGGAACTTCAGCGCGAACTGGGACCTGGGAGCGAGGGCACGGACACACGCACACACGGGCCACCCACCCAGACAGACAGACAGACAGAGACAGACACACACACACACAGACACACGCACGCCCAAGCTCGCAGCCCGTTACCGGCCGTGCCC